CCGCTGCGGCTCCTGGTTTGCACTCTGCACCCACTGCCATCCTTCTTTGCTGGTGAGGACATACCTACTAACGCCCTCCGCGCCACAGCACCCACCTGTCACACTCACATCCTACATGCAGACCACGCTGACCTCACACCACAAGCAGCCTGATGTCGCCATCTTCCTGGAGGACCCAGAAGCCCGCCCTGTACTACATGCTCTTGCTTTTTATGTTTGGAGTGCTCGGGGCGACGCAGGGCATGGAGACGATGGTGCCGTCCCCCCGTGGGCACTGCCCCCAGTTCCCAGGGAGACCCTGGGACAGGCCAGGGCAACCTCATTCCCCAGTCCCTGGAGGCAGCCACAGGCCTTTTGCAGCCACTGCTCGGCCTGCAGCTCCTCCCACCCTGGATGTGGCCCTGGCCTCACCCTGCGTCCCCACTTCCTCCCAGAAGGCTGTGTTTCCTGAGTGCTGATAGATTGGGATGTCTACCTTCTCTTTAGGAATTTGAGTCCTGGGCGTGTGGGGGAGTCATGCACGGCCCATTAGGGTTCCCCCGGCGTGAGGTTATACCGCAGCGAGTCCATACACCGACATACCACCACACAACACCGCAATCTGCTTAGTAAGCGCCCACTGAACTACTTCGTGCGATTACTTTTTCACGAGCCCTTCTTACCTTTGCGGCCAAGCCCCACCCCATGCCCCCACAAGCCCCCTCACCCTGTCCTCACGCATCATGCTGGCCTCTGCCCTGTGGGATGGGAAGCCCTGGTGGGCCACCATCCTCAAACAGGGTCTGCAGCACCCTCGGCTCTGGGACACAGGTCTGTGGAAGCAGCTCCAGGGGCATGGGCATGGGCGTGGGCATGGGTGTGGGATCGGGACAGGGTTAGGGGAACCCAGCCAGGGTTGGTGGAGGCCAGAACAGCTGGACCGGCATCTGGGCTGGCTCCCTGGCCCCAGGGTACAGCGCGCCAGGGCTTGCCCAGGTGGAGGGCTGGGGCGGGCGGGCAGGAGCTGACTCAGCTCCCCGGAACCAGGGGCTGCCAGAATCGGTGAGTGTGGAAGTCCCCGCTCTGCTTCCCCACAGCCAAGCGCGCGAGGCCTGGGGGGCAGCTGCTGTTCCCCCTCTGACCTGTGAGGGAGGAGGGGGGTGGGCCTCCGGGGCAGTGCAGGGGCTCTAGGGGGCCTCTTGTCCTCCTTTGCCCTCCCCCGCCCGCCCCCGCAGTGACTCCCACAGGTTGCCAGACCTGTGTCTGAATCAAGTGCTGCCTTTCTTTTCTGCTCATCCTGAGTCTCCAATGGAACAAGCATACTGAACCAGGAAGAAGGGGTCAAGGCCCTTGTGATGAACACTCCCCCCACCCCTGTGCTAGAGCAGGGCTGTGACACCAGGGGCACTGGAGGGAGCCCTCCACCCCCGGGTCACCGCGAGGCAGGCCCCTGGGAAGCGCCTTGAAGGGAGCCCCCAACCCTCACCCCTGCTGCCCACCCCCAGGAGCCAGGAACCCCCAGAAGTGCTCACCCCCAGGGCCCTGATGGGAACCCCACCCTGTGTTTCCCCCAGAGGGAGTCTCGCCATCGGCATGGATGCAAGCCCCCTGGCGGGAACATTGTTTGCCCTCAGTTTATCCACCGTGCATGGCTGTCCCCCGACCCAGCAGCGCCCACCTCATCCTCTCATCTCATCTCAGGTGTCACTGCGCTGAGCCCCGGGGCTGGTGCGTCAGGAACCAGAGCCCTATGCTTGCTTGAAAGCATGTCTCCCCTGGTCCAAGCATCAGTGGGTGTCCTGGCTCCTGGGGTGGAGGAGCCCAAGCCCCACGCAGTCGCACCTGCAGTGACCTGCTAACTGCGGGTCCCCAGCCTCGCCCCACCCGCAGCCTCCAAGGCACCTCTCCTGGGGCTCCTGGGTGCTGGGAGGTGCACAGATCCCAACCAGCCTGGTCCCCACGGTCGCCTCGCTGACCTAGTGTGGCCTCCAGGACTGGCCACATCAGCCCTTTCTCAGGAGGCAGAAAGGGGTCTGGTGAATGACCAGCCAGGCCACCCAGGGGGAAGCAGGGGCGAACTCCTGTACAGGGAGGCCACAGAAGCTGCAGAAAGATCCGGAACCAGCATCCACCCTGCCTCAGCTCCTGCTCTGTGATCTGCCCAGCCGTGTTCTCACCTGGCCCCCTGGCTACTTGCTTCTCAGGGACCCTGCCACTGGGTCCCTCTGCTCATTAGCGTGTTGGAGTCACCCCAGCCATTTCTGCTGCCGATTCCAGGCTGCGTCGGTGGGCAGGCCACCTGGACTGGCAGGAGGAGGATGCACAGGCAGCACAGGTGACGACATTGTGAAGGACAACCCGGGTTCATGGGTCCTCTGTGCAAGCTCCAGCTGGAATCCTATTGGGGTCGCAGGGGGTGGATGCAGCCCATCCCCCCACATGGCCCGACCGCCTCCCCCGTCCTCTCTGCCCCCTCCCAGCCAGGCCCATCTCCTCAGCCTGGACGCCTCACTTCCACACACTGGCTGTGCGGCCCCTAAAGCCAGAGAACCCTGGTGTGGGTCTGCATGTACCCCTCAGCCCATGTAACCCACAGGCCCAGCATCCCTCCCGCCCTGCCTGCCTGTTCTGTCCACTGCGAAGCTCATGGCCATGGTCAGTGCCCGGGTCCCCATGGGGGCATCCCCATGCTCTCCACTCAGAGCTGTCCATGAAGGCCCGGGGAGGAGCTCTAGGCCCAGAGCACAGAACACACCCTAGAGAGCAAGACTACACAGGGAGGTGGGGAAGGGGGTGGCCTTTCTGGAAACTTTGAGGCTCATGGACTGCAGGGTGGGTGGGGAAGTGTGGGGAGGCTCAGGCCTGGCCCAGCGCCTGGCACTCAGTAGGGTCCACAAGGGGTGAGCCCACAGGAGTGAGCCAGCACCCCCTCGCAGGTCACGCGGGACTGGGGAGACCTCCGGTATGTGATGCCAGGCTCACCGTGGCACCCAGGTGACAAGACAGTAACCAAGGGCAGCGCACCAAGTAAGGATTCAGATGGTGGTGCTTGAAAGTGGGAGCCCCAGGCATGGCACATGGTGTGCAGGTGTGCAGGGTCAGGGACGCAGGGCCTGCACACGGCAAGGCGGCAAGGCTCGGGCTTCCGCCTGTAAGGCACTGATGCTGTGGCAGACACAGAGGTTTTAATTGTTCAGGGATGTTCCCGATGAAACAGAGCAGGAGGGGAGGGGTGGACACAGTGCCCTGCCCAGGAAGGGCCCCAGGGCCATGGGGCTGTGGTGCAGGCAGCCGAAGGCTGTGTCCATGGGGAGACAGCTGGGGGTGTGGGCATGCAGGGGACTGGGGCAGCCACTCAGGGCTGTGGCATGTGCAGGGAGAGCACACAGTCCAGGTGCTCTCGGCCCAGCAACAAGGAAGCAGATCTGGTGCTGAAGGGCTGGGCCTCCAGCCTCAGGGCAGGGCAGCCTGGAAGATCTTGGTGGGGGGTGGGGGGGGTGTGAGCATCTGCTGTGCACTTCCAAAGGGCAGGTTGACAGTGGTTCCCCATTCCCATGGTCCCAGCACAGCCCCACGGAACTGGGTCAGACTCCAGGAAGGACTTACCTAAGGTCGCTGTCCTAACGCAGGTGTGTGGGCTGCTGAGGGACATGGAGGCCTCTGTCAGGAACCAGAGCTCAGCCGCCCAGGGCAAGCCGAAGAGCCTCTGGGGCTCCACTGAGGTGTTCACAAAGCCGCCTGGACTCAGTTTCTCCCCCCAAACAAAAGAGACACAGGCCCTCTTGCCTGAAGTTTCCCAGACAAGGCCCCCAAATGAGCAGGAACTATCCTGGTGGGCATCGGCTGCTCTGGATCTGCACCCCAGGCCCCGGACACAGCACACCCAGCAGCCCCAGGATGGAGAGAGACGGGCTCCTGGGTTGGAAGGGGGAACATGTGTGAGACTGAGCACCTGTGCACTGGGTGGGGCGTCCATGGAGGGGGGCAGGACCCACTGTCACCCGGGGACCCAGCGGGTGTTACAGAGTGTCACTACCTGGTTATAGAAGCTCGTTGCTGCCTGTCCCCAGCGGGAACTGGCAAGTCTTTCTCTGAAATCGAAGTGTGATCACATCAGTAAAATAGATGCGGTTTGGTGGGTGTGGACACGTACACGTGTGTGTAGCCAACTCCGCCTCCATCATGGACCATGTTGGTCACCCCAGACCAGAGGAGTCCAGGAGAACTTCCCACGGGGATGGGAAGGTCCCACATCTAACCATCTGGCTCGGTAGCCACGGCAGTCTTGGCAGGTGACACCGGAAAATCAAATTTCTCTTGTTTTGTTTTTTCACCTAATTGAAGTGTCCCAGGCTTGTGGGGAGTGGGAGCCATGGCTGGGGGGGTTGGGTGTTCCCTCAGTGCCTTCGCACAGCAGGTCTTCCAACACAATTCAGGAGGAGCCCCCACCGTGCTGTGTCCCCCCATGACTGCGCGAGGCTGAGTGCACGTATCCCCCCAGCAGCGTGGTGCCCTCATTCCCCAGCAGGTGCAAGCACCAGCTCCTCACCTGTGCTCCTGGGGTGCGGTCTCAGGTGGCTGTGGCCTGACGGCAGAGCTGGGAATGTCCGTGGGCAACCAGACGGTGGGCGTGTGGCTCTCTGTTGCTTGAACAGCTGATGGCAGCTGAGAGCTCAGGGCAATTTTCACCCTATGGATCAGCCCTGCTGTGCTCTGTCTGGCCCGTGGCAGGCACCTCATCTTCCTCCAAGCAGCCCCCTGGCTAACCCATCCATCCTGAGCCTGCAGGTTCTGTTCCCTGCGTTTCCGAAGCTCCACCCTATACCCACCGTTTCCCTGGCTGGTTTCACGCCCCTTCCCCGGGCGCATCTCCAAGTTCGGTGCTGTCCTGGCATCAAGCAGGGACCCGCTTCCTTCCAGGGGGTCAGGATTGCAGTAGCGTCCGCAAAGGAAAGAGCCGCGGGCACTCTGAGGAGGGCGGGCGCAGGGCCGCCCCCTCACTGGGCCTCCCCCCACCCCAGGTCCCTGGCCGTCGGGCCCCAGTACTCGTCCCTGGGCACTCAGCCCATCCTGTGCGCCAGCATCCCAGGCCTGGTACCCAAGCAGCTGCGCTTCTGCCGGAACTACGTGGAGATCATGCCCAGCGTGGCGGACGGCATGAAGATCAGCATCCAGGAGTGCCAGCACCAGTTCCGCGGGCGCCGCTGGAACTGCACCACAGTCAACAACAGCCTGGCCATCTTCGGCCCTGTGCTGGACAAAGGTACGCGAGACACCCTGCTCGGCCCTCGGTGCACATGGGGAGCGGGGGCAGGTGCTGCGGCCCAGGGGCTCCCCACTCTAAGGCAGGAGCTGCCTGTCTCCATCCAGCTCAGCGTGTCCCCTGCGCTCAGCCTGGGAGTGGCCTGTGCAGCCGTGGGCAGGGCGCAAAGAGCTCATTCTGGGGACGTCTCCACGCCTACTGTTCTGGGATCTCCTGGGGCGCCAGCGAGACAGCTCCATGCACACATTCCTCCTGCTTCCCCTTCACGGAGGGGACATGGTACCATCCAAGGGATGAGGGACGAGAGTAACCATCCCAGAGCACCCACAGGGGCTGGGCCTTCAGGGCGTCTCAGAGAGGAAATACAAAAAATAATGTTTTTTAAACACAGGGAGGGGAGGAGGAGAGGGGAGGGCAGAAGCCCTCTGGGGAAGTCACCCAGGGCCCTGGGGCAGAGGCTTATCTTAGGAAGGAATAGAAGACAGGGCTGGGCGTCGGTTCACTTTTGGTGATGAGCACATTTTCACCAAAGATAGTGCTTTGCACCATAATGACCATGTGCTGGTATCCCAACGTGTGCAAATCAGAGGGCAGCCGGCTCCGCGCCCCACAGGTCTGGCCACAGATGCTGTGCTCAGCGAGAACGCGGGGATGTGGGCTGTGCACTCTGGTGGCTGGGCCCCACCGAGGGCGCTGAGGGAGCGCAGCCCCTTTCACCCAGCCTGATGCCTTCAAGGTCGATTAATGCATGTGCAGCATCGTCAGCACCTCGCACCCCCCCCACACACACGTGAATAATATTCCAGGGTGTGCTTGGACCACCAGCGGCTGGCATGCAGTGTCAGTGGGCACCAGGTCATTCCCACCTGGCGGCTGTGGTCAGCGGTGCTGTGCTGCTGTGGCCCTTGGTGAACGATTCTCACCTGAATACCTGTTTTCATATCCTTAGGGTATATTCTTCATGGCGAATTGTTCCGTATAAGATTTTGGGAACCCCACTCTGCTGCGCATGGCTGGCACCATCTTATGCCCTGACAGCAATCCCAAGGGTTCCCGGCTCTCCACACCCTCACCATCACCTTACTTCTGCCTCTTTCCTTCTCACCCCAGTGGGCACTAAATGGTACCTCGTTGTGGTTCTTATTCACGTGTCCCCAATGGCTGGTGATGTCAAGTGCCTTTTCCTGAGCTGGCTGGTCATCCGTACTTCTTCTTTGGAGAAGCGTCTATTCAAGGTCTTTGCCCAATTTTTTAAAAAAATATATTTATTTATTTATTTATTTATTTATTTATTTATTTATTTATTTATTTATGAGAGAGAGAGAGCATGTATGGGGAGGGCCCAGGGGAGAGGCAGAGTTGGAGAGAATGTCAAGCAGAGTCACTGAGCACCAAGCCTGACTTGAGCTCTATCCCAGGACCCTGAGGTCATGATCTGAGCCAAGACCAGGAGTCAGATGCCCCATCAACTGCTCTACCCAGGCACTCTTGCCCAGTTCCTAATTGGGATGCTTGTCTTTTTGTTGTTGAGTTCTCAAAGTTCTTTATATATTCTGGACACTGAGTTCTTATCAGCTCCGTGATCTGCAAATATTTTCTTATGGTGGTCTTTTCCTTATTGTAACAGTGTCCCGGAATGCACAAGAGTCTTAGATTTTGGTGAAGTCCAATTTATCTATTGAAATGTCATTTTAAAGTAAGCATTGTCTCATCTGTTACAAAGATTTACACCTATGTTATCCTTTACGAGTTTTATAATTTGACCTTTCATCTTTAATCCTTGGTCCATGGCATATAAATGCTTGTGTACGGTGTGAGGGAGGGGTCCAACTTTGTTCTTTTGCATGTGGAAATCCGGTTATTCCAGGGCCATCTGTTGTTGGACAGATAGTTTCCCCCTCCTGGCGTGGTCCTGGCCCCCTTGTCAAAAATCAGCTGGCTGTGGATGTGTGGATTTATTTCTTGACTCTCCGTTTCATTCATTCCTTTGGTCTACATGCCCGTCCTCTTGCCATTTCCACACTGGTTTGATGGACGTAGGTCTGTAGTATGTTATGAAGTCAGGAAATGCAAATCAAATCCTCCATTCTGTTTTTCTTTTACAGGATCATCTGGGGTCCCTTGAATTTTAGGGTCAACTTCTCCAGGTCTGCGAAAAAGGCTTTGAGACTTTCATGGGCACTACATCCGGCCTGTAGATTATTGGGGGGGGGTATTGCCATTTTAAGACTATTAAGCCTCCTAATCTCTGAACATGAGATAAAATTCTCTTTATTTAGGTCTTCCCTGGTTTCTTCCAGCTACATTTTGTTCAGTGCATAAGCCTTGCACTTCCCTCGTGGACGTGTTCCTAAGGTTTTTTTTTTTTTATCCTTTTTGATGTTACTATAAATGAAACTGTTATCTTATTTTCCATTTTGTTTTTTTTAAATTTTTATTTATTTATGATAGTCACAGAAAGAGAAAGAGAGAGAGGCAGAGACATAGGCAGAGGGAGAAGCAGGCTCCATGCACCGGGAGCCCGATGTGGGATTCGATCCCGGGTCTCCAGGATCGCACCCTGGGCCAAAGGCAGGTGCCAAACCGCTGCGCCACCCAGGGATCCCTTATTTTCCATTTTGGACTGTCCATTGCTACTGTATAAAATATGACTAATGTCTGTGTTTTGATCATGAATCCTGCAACTTTGGTTAATATTTTGGTAGCTCTGAGAGGGTTTCTTGCAAGTTTCTTAGGATTTTCCATGTATAGGACCATGTAACCTATGAATGGTGACAGTTCTACTTCTTCCTGTGCAGTTAGCCTACCTTTGATTTCTTTTTGCCTACTTGCTCTACCCCTTCCAGCACCATGCTGCACAGAAGGGGTGAGAGTGGGCATCCTTGTTCCAGGTCTCAGGGAGAAACACTTCAGTCTTTCACCATCAAGTGAGAGGTCAGCTGTGGGTTTTCCATAACTGCCCTTTATCAGGTTGAGGAAATTCACTTCTAGTCTTCATCTGTTGAGCTTTTGTATCACAAAACGGTGTTGGATTATACCAAATGCTTTTTCTGCCCCAATTAAGATGCCCATGAGGTTTTGTTCCTTCGTTCTCTTAATGTGATGTGGTGTTATTGGTTGATTTTCCTCCACTGAAGCACCCGTGCATTCTTGGGATAAATCCCCATTGGTCATGGTCAATAATCCCTTTAACATGCTGGAGGATTTGGTGTGTGCGTATTTTGTTAGGGATTTCTGTGTCAATATTTACAAGGGGCATGGGTCTGCGGTTCTCTTTCCCTGCAGTAGTGTCTTTGTCTGGCTCTGGGATCAGGGCAACACGGGCCTCAGGGAATGAGTTAGGAAATGTCCCCTGCTTTCCTGCTTTTTGTAAGAGCTTGAGAAGTGTCGGTGTGGATTCTTTTTAATTGTTTGGTGGAATTCACCAGCGAAGCTTTGCTTTCTTGGAAGGCTTTACATTACTGATCCAATCATTCCTGGTTATAGGTCTGCTCAGATGTTCTATTTCTTCTTAAGTCAGTTCTGGTATGTATGTGTGTCTAGGAAGGCATCCATCTCATCCAAGTCAATGGTTCACTTTGGAAGGATAGTCTTGCCAGAGGTAGAATTCTTGGTTGACAGTGTTTTCCTTCAGTATGTGAAACATATCATCCCACTGCCTTCTGACTCTAGTTTCTGATGAGAAATTGGTGGTTAATCTCATGCAGAACCCTTCATATGTGACAAGATGCTCCTCTCTTGCTGCTTTAGAGATTCTCTTTGTCTCTGTATTTTGATAGTCAATTAAAATATATCTCAGTGTGGATCTCTCTATGTTGATCCAACTTGAAGTTCATTGAGCTTCCTGGAAATACTGGTTCAAGGCCTTCATCAAATTTGGGACTTCTTGGCTGTTGTCTCTTCAAATATTTTTTCTGTCCCTTTCTCTCTATCCTCCCCTGGGACTCCTGCAATACACTGTTTGTTGCTACAGAGGATAGTGTCCAACAGGTCCGTTCAATTTTTTTCATCCTCTTTTCTTTCTGCTCCTCGGATTGCATAATTGCAATAGAACTGTCTTCAAGGTCACTGATTCTTTCCCCTGCCTACTCAGCTATGCTGTTGAAAACCTCTAGTAAATATCCTGCTTCAAGTAACCATACTTGTCAGCGCCACAATTTCTATTTGGTTGTTTTTGTAATTTCTATCTCTTTACCAATATTCTCTCTTTGTTGAGACTTTGTTCTCCTGGTTTCTTTTATCCCTTTGGGCATATTTAGGACATTGATTCAGAGTCTTTGTCTGGTATATTCAATATTTGTGCTTCCTTGGGATACTTGCTGTTAATTTCCCTTTTCTGTGAATGGCCCACACTTTCTTGTGTCTTTGCATGCCTTGTAATTTTTTGTTGGAATCTGCACCTTTTGATTATTATAAGATGGTTACTCAGAGAATCAAATTCTTTCCCCTCCTTGGAGTTTGGTGTGCTTACTGTGGATTGTAGTTGCTTGTTTATTCAGTGACTTGTCTTTACTTTGTGGTCAGCTAGTGGTTTGGCAAAAAATTTTCCTTAATGTCTTGGAGGAAAAAAGAAAAGAAAACAAAGCAAAGGAAGAAGACTCCTCTGGTTTTTGCAGATTGGCTGTGTTGTGCTGGCTTTCGACATGAGCTCATCTGCTCACAGCCCCGTCTTAGCCCTCGCTGCCTGCCTGTACTGAGCCTGAAGATCAGCTGTGAGTGAAAGCTTATGGTCCCTCCTTAACCCCATGTTATACCCTTGGTGTGTACATCGCTTTAGCTCTCTTGGTACACAGGAGCTCTTCAAACACTTCCTTCCCCAAGGCAGCTATCCCCAGCACTTTCCCCCCAGGTGGTCACTATGTCTGTTGTCCACCCCAACTGTAATTTTTTGCCCCACATGGCAGGAGCTCATCAATCTGATTTTCAGTGTTTTCCAGGAGTACTGCTTGGCCACTGTTCCACCTGAGAGAATTCTGAGGTAGGCATCAGTTTTTCAGGGA